CAATGTTAATCGTTATCTTCTGTCTTCTTAATCCTTTTATCGTCTTCTCTCGTTAGTGGTACATTTTCTCACATTCTCTGACATTCAGTTACTCCTTGCGTCTTAGTGGCCTTATTGCCTTGGTAGGAAGGAAATGATTTTTAAATGATTGATCTCTTATTTACAATGGTTTGAATACAGTTTTTTTTCCCTTCTAGCTTGGCTTTTTATCTAAAGCATTGTTTCTTTACCAGATAGCCAGGTGCGTGCCTAATTAACCGAAGAGTACTTTCTGAATTAATTTCATATTTAAAATATCTTTATTCTTAAAATAATACGAGGAACATCAAACGCAAGTCTCCCATGTCTAAGTCTTGGTCATTTGATATTTTAAACTGAATGCTAAATTTCTTAATCTTTCAGGAGTTTATAATCCTTTTGCTATTGTCCTCCTCAAGGCATTTAAATCCGTCATTATTGGTCCCTGTAAAAAATAGTATTCTTCATAAATCTCTTTAAAGGAAAATTGTACCGCTAATCTTCAAATATTAGGCCTAACATTTATCACATATAAGGACTAATATTAAAATAATTGCCAAAGAACATCAAACACAACTTTCAAACAAGACTACTTGACTATACAATGAAATGTCTTAAAAACAATTGCTTATTTCAGGAGACTTTTTTATTATTTATTAATTTATTTTCACATTTCATGATTATTTTTTTCTTATTAAAATGTAAAGTGCGCCCCAGTGTATTAGTTAGTCTACAAGTGCGCGCGTGGAGTAAAGAGAAAATCTGAGAAAAATTGATCTAAGAGCTACTAGTCTGTTGTACCGTAACCATAAGTTCTATTCTAACAGTTTTTTTCTATTGCACTTCTTGCTTGTGAAACTCTCTCTTGACTTCTGATTTCCAATTCAAATTTGATATTCCAAAATTTAAATGCAATGTCAATCGTAATCTTCTGTCTTTTGAATCATTATGATTTTTTATTGTCTCTATTTAATAATAGTTTTATTTTTTTCATATTATCTAACATAATGTGTACTAGTGGTTTTAGTACCTTGCTTGGGGTGACTTGATTAAAAAATGATTCAACACTTCTTTTTCTTTCCAGGTTTTTTATCTTTAACATGATGTTGCCTCTTGATCAAAGATTTAGTTTGTTTATTTTTAATCAGCGATAACAATCTCTTCAAATTTTTTTCCACCACGTACATTATTTTCTCCATCTCAATCTGATTTATTTTGATTCTTTTCCTCTTTCATTTTTTTTTTTTTAGATGGCGGATTTTATTTAAATATGTTTACATTTTCTCATTTATTTCCTTTAGTATTTTTATTTATTTCTTCAACTACGCCGACAACTTCGCTTTTTTCATCCTTTTTCTTCTTCATCTTCCTTTTTTTTAAAAATAATACTGAGCTTTTGACGTTATCTCCTGGATGTAATTTCCTTTCAGTTCTTCTTTCTATCTGTCCATTTATACGTTTGCTTCTTCTACGCTTTCTTCCCGCCTTTTCTCCCATTCTGCTGATCTCTTCTACACGGCTCTTAATTCCTCTTCTCCTCTTTGTACACGCTACTTCACCACAATGCCGATCAATCTAACTCACTTCATAAGCAAATCATTTCTTCGCCCGCGTCATCCGTGTTTCATAATAGCAACAAAACAACAAACGATTCAATATGCCGTCCCAATGTCATAAACCCGGATCAACCATCATGTTTTTGAGTGAACTTCCATTGTACCACCCATCACCTCACCAATATCCACTGACCAAAAGACCTGACAAATCATGGCAGTGGCGAGTAGAAACAATCTTGACAAATAGAATGAGAGTGTTAAGAAGGCAAACCTTTTAAGACCTTCTTCAAGGGTGAACAGCGTGGCCTGCTTTAAAACGGCGGATATAAATGATGGAAAAGGCAGGTCAATGAAAACCGAAGCTTTTGGGGAAATCTTTTTGTTTGAAATCTATTCAATAATTTCCTTCGAATTTCCACGACGGAATCTTAGAGCAGAAAGTTTCGGTATGAAACATATTATCTGCATAGGATTAATCGATTAATATTTTTTTAAGATATATCAACCCTTACTGGGTTACTTAAAGATCATATTAGAGTTCCGTTATTTCTCAATTGCAAGGATTAGGATGAGAATGATTGTATCAATTACAGAATAAAATAATATAATAGACATTCTGGTTCTTTCTATCTATCTATCTATCTATCTATCTATCTATCTATCTGTGGTCTGTCCTTTATCTATCTATCTATCTATCTATCTATCTATCTGTGGTCTGTCCTTTATCTATCTATCTATCTATCTATCTATCTATCTATCTATCTATCTATCTATCTGGGACCTGTCCTTTATCTATCTATCTATCTATCTATCTATCTATCTATCTATCTATCTATCTATCTATCTGTGACCTGTTCTTTATCTATCTATCTATCTATCTATCTATCTATCTATCTATCTATCTATCCTCTATCACCCTTTTATAACTATAAATATACCCTTAAAAGGCAATCCGTACAAAGTTTTCCCTTTGTATATATATATATATATATATATATATATATATATATATATATATATATATATATATATATATATAATGAAATGGACAAAGTCCGACAATTATTTTAAGACATTTCTATGTTTATACATTCATTTATAGATACAAATATTTAAGTAAATGGTCTGTTTATAATAAACAATATTAAACAAGGAAGACGAATATTTTCTGTAGGGCCTCAGACATTCATGCCATTAAATGTTATATATATATATATATATATATATATATATATATATATATATATATATATATATATATATATATATATATCGGCCTGAATGTATGAGAGGTTTCCTAGAAAATATTCGTTTTTCAGGAATCGAAACTCTGTTCCTATACGGTCATTTGGCCTGGTGTGCTGATTGTACTTGTCGGATATAATTCATTTTATAATATGTTGTCATTTTTACGTTTTATGTATAAAAATAACGTATAAAATAACGTATATATATATATATATATATATATATATATATATATATATATATATATATATATATATATATATATATATATATATATAAAAAAAAAAAAAAAATGCGGATTGAATTTTCCAGATATATTTCTAGTTATGGAGCGTGCGGCATAAATGCCTCGCCCATATATCTCTCAGTGGTATATCTCACATATTCTTGCTTCCCAATCAACTTTCCGCTTCAAAAAATGAAATGTAATGTCAATCGTTATTTCTGTCTTCTTAATTCTTGTTCTTTTATTGTCCTCTCTCCTTAATAGTAGTTTTTTTCCTCATATTCTCTAACACTCAGTAACCCTTTTGCATCCTAGTGGCTTTATTGCCTTTGATCTTCAAAAATTTAAATGCAATGTCAGTTGTTATCTTCTGTCTTAATTTTTTTTCTGTTATGGTTGATGTGGATTAACAAACATTTAATGCTATCTTGAATTTCTACCAATTTCGGGTCAGCTGCCTTATATTAGGTCACTAGTTTTTCATAAAAATTCCATTGCTAGAACAGAAAAATTTCAAATTTTGAAATAAATATAACAAAGCACGTTGAGCATGTTTTTAATAGTCACCATCCCAAAGAAATGCAGATTTCGTCAAATTTAAGATAAGATTGTCTTTGGAATTCACTTCTGAGAATGATCTTGGAAGGGATCAAAAATACTTGAGTAGAAAAAAAAAACTACGACTCCTTCCTTAATGAATTTCATCTTAACATCAAGAAACTGAATAGAAAACTGGAAAAGGAGAAGGATAAAAAAATAAATACACATAATATGTTTATTATTCAGTGAAACATGTTTGAATGAAGATATGCTGCCTATATATATATATATATATATATATATATATATATATATATATATATATATATATATATATATATTGATGTGAGTTTGTGACCCGGGATTTCTCGCTATTTGCGATCGTGAGAGTTTGTCTGACGATCGCAAAAGCGAGAAACGCAGGGTCAAAACTCACATCATTCCAACTAAATATGTTAACTCTATCACTGATATTGACCGCTTTCCAATGAGTACCCATATATATATATATATATATATATATATATATATATATATATATATATATATACACATTATATATATATATATATATATATATATATATATATATATATGGTTTTACTCTTGCCCTTAAAAAAATGCTTATATTTTTGTGTGAGTAATCTCTTATTTTTATTTATGCAATTATCTCGATTGTCATATGTACGAAACGTTTTTTTTTTAATTATTTGAATTAAAAAATATACAAAGAATGCCTATAATCCCCGTAGCTTCAACAAATTACAGACATATTTAAGTAATTTTGCAATGGAATTGGTCATATCTTCTGTATGAGTTATCTCAAATTTTTATCTGCACAATTAACTCTATTGTTTTATATAAGAAAGAAATAATTCGACTCTTTTTACGCTTAAAAATAAAATTATCAAAAGTTAAGGGTGCTCACATAAAACATAAATAAATCAATATTTTGTGTTATTCTCGTGTTAATACCGCCATATAACGTTACGGCTATCGAGTAAGTCATCCTGTTACCATTTTATGTAATATCTAATTAGTAAAAAACAAAAACCAGGATGTCTTTGATAAAAATATAAAAAACCTTTATATTCGTATCTTTTCTGTTATATGAGATGTGCTTTTATGGCTCTCCACAGCATCCCATTTCGTTTTGTTCTTATTCTCTCACCTATTCACTCATTTTCGGCAAGAACGTTGCTCTCTCTCTCTCCCTCTTTCTACCCGCTTCTCCTGCTTTTAATATAAAATCGACTCGTGTCATAATCGCCAGGCTTTTTTCCCAATTATCTGTCGCAGAAATTTCAGCTATCTCTCGATTATATGTAAAAGACTCCTTAGTAAATTCTAATTTTAAAACTTCCTCGTTACTCGCATGCACTGTCTATGGTATTCTCAAAATACGTTGATAGGAATATTGTTCTGTCATTATATACTTCTTTGTCTGTGGATGATAAGACCCCAATAAAAAAAAAGAGAGAGAAGTTTCCTGGGTATGACGATAAACAACATCCGCCAGCAGGGCCTCTGATCGGGCGGTTTTCAGGAGCTTGAAAGCATCTCTTTATCGCCGTTGTTCCCCCGGTCCAACCTTCAATTTAACACCCAAACTGGGACAAACACTAGAAAAGTATTAAAATAAAATAAATAAATATTACCAGCAATACATTTTTGTAAAAGTTGATTCATTTTTTAATAAATATTACCAGCAATACATTTTTGTAAAAGTTGATTCATTTTTGAATAAATATTACCAGCAATACATTTTTGTAAAAGTTGATTCATTTTGAATAAATATTACCAACAATACATTTTGTAAAAGTTGATTCATTTTTGAATAAATATTACCAGCAATACATTTTTGTAAAAGTTGATTCATTTTTGAATAAATATTACCAGCAATACATTTTTGTAAAAGTTGATTCATTTTTGAATAAATATTACCAGCAATACATTTTTGTAAAAGTTGATTCATTTTTGAATAAATATTACCAGCAATATATTTTTGTAAAAGTTGATTCATTTTTGAATAAATATTACCAGCAATACATTTTTGTAAAAGTTGATAATGCTCCCAAGGAAGTTAAATGTCGACAGGTGTTGATATGCTGCTAAATACAAAAACAAATCTATTCTAAAAATCTTGTCGGCAATAAATAATCTATTAAGGTTGATATGGCGTAAAACAAAATAAACCCAAACCCCAAACTCTAAACCCGAATTAAACAGTATTAATTAAATTTACCGCCCTGAATTTTCGGGAAATTTCGCAAAAGATATGCTATCTCCGACAGGAATCAAACCTGTATTCCTATATGAAAACCTTCATTTGTTATGACCATTTAGCTATAGATACGCGTCTGATTAGCAAAGTCCAAATTACTGTTTATAAACACAATCTGCGAGGATTTTTCTCGATCAATTATATCTGCTCACGAAACGTATCTTAACGTAAACAATGACAAGATATTATGAAGTAGATTATGACCGACAATTACAATCTGATTAATACAGCACATCAGGCCAAATGGCCGTATAGCAATAGAGTTTCGATTCCTGTTGGAAAACGAATATTTTCTACGAAATCTTTCGAACATTCAGGCCTGTAAATGTAATTAGTACTGTTTATTTAAAAAAAACAAAACAAAACAAAGAAAACCCCCAAAAACAGAGCATTTACTTAAATAAAACCCCAAAAGCGAGAAGGACGACAAATATTCCCACTAAGAAATAGAAGTTACGCAAGACACCTCAATGCGTGAAATATGTGTTAGAAGAACGTCCGCAAATTTTTCTATTGGTTTAGTTTGTTTTGTTTTACGGCATATCAACCACAATGGGTTATTTAATGCCGACACAATTTCCTTTTTCTTTTCAAAAATGTATAGTTTGACTTGTTTTGTTTTGTTGCATATTAACCTCAATTCGTTACTTAATGCAAACAAGATTTTTTATTTCTGGTAATATTTTCCTTATTCAAATATTTATTGCTGATGCTATTTTTTAAAAAAAAAGTATTTCTGGTATTAAAATCGATTTTTACACTTTCATAGTATTTCATAGTGTTCGTGGGGTCAACTATTTGTCCATAGATGGGAACCTAACAGGCGCTACCACCCGGGTCAGGATGGACCTGGGAACACCAGCAATTAAGAGGGGGTTCCACGCTCCTCAAACCTCTTGATCAGAGGCCTTGCTGTTGGACGTACTTTATCGTCTTACACAGGACGCGGATGCAGTATATTGTCATACCCAGGAAGCTTACACAAGTTTGGGTGTTAACTATTTGCCCATAGCTAGGACCCGAACAGGTGCTTCCACCCCGGGTCAGTGTAGACCTGGGAACACCAGCAATTAAGAGGTGGTTCCCCGCTACTCAAAACCTCCTGATCAGAGGCCTTGCTGCTGGACGTAGTTATTCGTCATACCCAGGACGCGGATGTAGTTTATCCTCATACTTAGCGACCTGGGTTGTCAAGAAAAGGAAAACAGTGATTGTGACAGACTTCTTCAGGTGAATCAGAATTCTTTGGGCTTTTCAGAACTAAGATAAATAAGGAGAGCCTGAACGTTTCATTAAAACAAAATGCACAGTTCTATTGATTTTCCAAGCGTACCTTAGATGTGGCACAAGGCCGAAAGTATGGAGCACCCAGTGGGGATCGAACTCACTATTCAGGCGTAAATGTTCTAGCGAGAAAAGCTTGCTAACCATAACACCGCCTCGAGGTGCTCCGATTTTGTAGCTTAGATGTGGAATAAGGCTGAGAGTGCCGAGCACCCAATGAGTATCGAGCTCACTAGTCCCTCGTAACTGTTTTAACGAGACAAGCTTGCTAACCATTACACCACGTCAAAACAGCACAGTTTTAAATTGGTATGTAGTAAATAATATTTGACAGCATAATGTCT